GGAAACTCTAAACTAAGGCCCCAGACAGGCTCCTTTAAACACCCATTCGCCCCCTGGGCTCTGAGGTGGTGGCTGGATGAGTCCACATAAGTCACGGTAACCTGCACATATCCCCTCCTTAGCCCCGCAGCACCACACCTATCCCCCTCGGGTGACAGGTGGATTATTGGGCAATGGTATTTCTGCATTCTCCTGCACCAGCTACCAACACGCCCACTGACCGCGGGAAAACATCCCAGCAGATCGGCAGAGATTGTCTTTGAGGAAGCCTTTCAGATTCTTACTGCGGCCGTATCTTTGTGCTTGTGCGAGAAGTCAGACCGTGTCCCTGTTTGAGCCGAGGCCACATCCTCAAAGAGACGGGGACTTTAAGCGGAAACAAGTAAAAGACATAGCGTCCCTTGTCTTTTTATCACATGTAGTCAAAGCATCACTTTACACTGGGACGTGTTTGTTGTTTGCAGTGTAATCCCTTGTTGTGACCTCAAATTGGCTGACTGGCTTGTTGGCCACTCAGGAGATGTTAAACCACTTGACTTACACGGTTTGACGTGTTCAGAACAGGTGATCAGTTGATCCGTAACGACATTCACTTTTCCCCTGATCGTGATTTTAGTTCCAGCATTCAGAGTGTTTGAGACTATGGCCGTCACAAACAAACACCGCTTGTCTCTACATGATGGGTTTTCATTTTCAAAGTATTATAGTTGTACTCAAAATACAGGTCTTAATGCAAAAAGCACCGCACGCCATTATTGAAATCACCATGTGAACGCCATATAAGAGCCCCCCCCCACACACATCCCCTTGGGTGGTAAGAAGCTGAACCTGCACATCCCACCATCTCATTTTCCTTCTCTCTCTGTCTCCTCCTCTCTCTACCAACTACTTGTCAAGTCTGATGTCAGGCCGCTCGCAGGGTCCCAGGGTGAGGGTACAGTTTCTGTTTTGACACCCGCTCCTAATTACATGTGTAAATGATTGATCACCTGAGCCTAGCTGGGCAGCGGTGTGACAGTCCCTGTTACATGACGGCTCTGCGACCATGACCAAGTCCAGGACGGTTCCCGCTGCCGGGCACAGTAGAAACAGACACCTGCGATAGCCCGACGGCTGGGAGATTAAGTTCTGAACGCTCGCCATTTGGACCAAAGACTCTCTGCCTATCAGCGGCCCTTGAGGAGCAAGTTGCACAGGTGCTGCTTGATATCTATGGCTCTCTGTTTGGTCTAATCCCAAACAATTTAAACCAAGGCTCACTGCCCACACCTTTACACCGACTCTGTGACACCTGAGGGGCCTGGCCGCTGAAAGCAGACCTCAGCTACTTTTGTGAGAAGTGATTTGGCTAATTGATTTTGGAGTGGCCGGTCAGGAGGGCCTGGGGGGGGGCGGGGGTGGACTGGGATGGAAGCAGAGGGGTGCTTCCTTTATGCGTAGCGCTGAAATGAACCTGCTGCCATGAGAGCGCCCACCTCTCAGCGACAAACCTGCGCTGAGTACAATACACAGACATGGTAGCGCCAATTGTTAAGAAAATAAACACTGAGCCAAAGCCAGAAACCCTGTGATGCTTTTACAGATGGGGGGAGGGAGGGGGGGTACTTCTCCTCTGCCTGTTCTGCCTGGCAACAGCTGTTGGTTTCTCTGTGCTTTGACTCAGGTTTGGAACCAATCTGAGGGCCACGAGGGTTTTAACCCCAATCTTCTCTCCCCTCGTCTCGCAGCGCGCCGCACATGAGCTGTGCAGCTGCACTTCCAATTGATCTGCTGGGCTCGCTGGAGGGAGATAGATTGGAGGGGAAATGGCTTAATTGTCCTCACTCTCACTTGTGGAATGCAAATAGCTCTCCGCCAAAACTGGCCTTCACTGTGAGGAGAGCCCCACTTTGAGGAGGCTCTACATTTTTGTTTTGAACGCGAGGAATCACCTGTTTAACAGTGTTTGGCCATGGTGGCAGGTCATTGTCACATATAAATGTAACACTACCTGTTTAGCTTCCAAGAAAAGAGAAGCCTCTGCCGTTCGTCAGCTAGAGGTCAGAGAGAGATAGATGAAGTGTTTCTTCCTTTTCCACTCGATCTGATTTCCTCCGCGGTTTTTTTTTCAATTGTTTTTCAATTCTAAAAAGAAATGACCAACGTTGTACGAGAACGAAGGCAACTTCGAGGCTTTGATGTTTCCCTGCCGGCTTCAGACAGCAACTGACAGCCTGCAGATCTGTGAGCGGGGGCCTTTTTAGACCCCGGCCTGGCCCCGTTCGTCTGGCCCTCCGGTGACAAGCGCTCTGATACGACACGGTTAAACACCTGCTGCAAAGCGGTCAGGACGACCCCGGGGTCAGGGAGAACTTAGTCATTTATTATGCTCATTGGCTCGTGCTTGTTTTACACTAAAAGGTCTTCGTTCTAAAACGACAAACTCGTTATTATGAAAATCCAGAACCAAACAGCACCGACAAGCTAGTGACGCGCCGGTGAACATCAAGAGTGAACGAGCATCTCAAATGAATGCTGATGTCGCTCTGCCAACTTGGAGGTGGAACAACTCCATTGTGTTACTTTAAAGGTCATAATATGTCAATCTTGGGTTCACAGCTTGTTTCTGCTGCCCCCGAGTGGCCAAAGAAACAACTCTAAACTAAACCCATTTGTTTAGAAATGATTAAGTGGTTTGGTAAAAAAAAAAAAAAACGAAAGCTATACAAGTTTTATTAAGAATGTGATCTTTAAAAGATATATTTGCAATAAAGTAGCAGCTAGATATTAATAAATTCTACCCATTTCACCTTTATGTTGGATGTGAATGCCACATTCGACTTTCCACGTTTTTAAAGGATTTCCTTGCACATATAAACAAAATAACATTGTTATTAACTCTCTTATTAACTAATGAGGAGGTCCGTAAAAGGGGGCAGTGGAGTTTATACTAAAAAAAAAAGATTTCCACATAGAATAGACACATATCTTAATATCAGTTTGCGAGGTTTTTCCCTGAGGGACGCTGTCATTTGAGAGGCCGAGTGGTAGAGGCCGGGTGCCGCGGGGCCATTGTGTGCTTATTGTGGGTCACAATGGAACTTAACACTTGGCAGAGCCTGGGCTGGTTGTCAGCAGCCGAACTTGATCCCGTCAACTTGTTCTCATCGCAGAGCGATAAAGGAAGAGCTTTGAACTCACGGTTCTGTACCGGGCAAAATATGAATTCTCTATCCTCGGGATGGTGGGAGAACTTGTTTGGACACGTAGGTTTGAGAGTTCTCATCAGGCCAGTTGTTGGTGTCAGATAAGAGGAAATCATGGTGAAATATTGTGCGCCCTTGACAAGGCAAAGCCGTCCAGATGACCCGTCCACGTCGCCCGGACAGATGTCTCGTGCTCAGAGGCCCGTCAACTCTGGCTTTCCAAACTGACGCCTGCCTCACAAACTGTTGCCCTGCAGACCACAAAAGGGGCTTCACGTTACCCAGAGGGGCAGCCGGTAACTTCAGATGGATAATCCTTGGATCTGGTAAACCGGTCTTCAGCAGGACCCAACCAGGAAAACCTGAGCCGTGTGTCATTGGGTGTGGATTGGGTGTGCATTGCGTGTGCATTGGGTGTGCATTGGGTGGCATGTGTGGCTCCCCGGGGCAAATCATTGGGGTATGTGTAGTATTTCCTCCTTCGTACGTCACCTTGTCTGCACTCAAAAGAGAGGAGCCAAACCAAAACTGTCCTCTTTACGATCTTCTTCTCGGGTCGACTTCGGCAGCCTGTGAAACAGTTTACTACATTCTGTCGCTGGAGGAGATTTGCACCTTGAAAGCTAATTTCCGTAATTATACTTTACTTTATTCACAAAGTAAAGTGAGTCGGTGAAACACAATATGACGCGGGGCGTAACCTTGAGAGCTCGTAAACGTTAGCAATGCAGTTCTGGTTGTCCTTGGTGGCCCCCAGCTGTTTTGACCTCAGATGACTCATGTGTCATCACCGGCCCGACAGGATCCTCACCACCCGGAGGCTGCCGTCACTCTCGTGTCGCCTCACTGGTCCACGCCAGCTTTCAGCTTTCCCACCCGCCTCCGCTGGCACCAGGGGCAAGATTTACAGTGGAAAAATATAGTATGCCCCCCCCCCTCTCTCCCCCACCCACACTCTTCCATGTGGAGCCGAGTGTGGAATGTGTGTTTGGGCATGTTGCGAGAAGTGCGAAAAAACAACAGAGCTGTAAACACTGAAGGTAGGAGAGACGCAGACTGCTGCGCTGTTCCAGATGTGCAGCGGCAGCAGGAAGGCTCTGTAGGTGCAGCTCACAGAGCCAACGTGCGCATGGGGACGGGTGCAGGCCCACGCCTGAGGGTGTGTGCGTGGGGGGGAGTTCCTGCGTGTGAGCCAATGACGTGCACAGAGGGCGGGCATTGACTTATGGAAAACGGATCACCTGATTTGTTGTTTAGGGTTACGTCAAAACAGTAAACGTTACGCGCGCGCACACACGCACACACACACACACACACACACACACACACTGTAGTTATTATTTAGGTCCAAAGCGGCCAATAATGTTTGTCTGTCAGCATCAATGAAAACACAATATGAAGTCTTATGAATTCAATGCTTGGAATCGTTTCTGACTCACCAATCGGTAGATCATCTGGACATAAAATCCACCCGAGCGCGATCACGTGGCGCCGGAAGTTGGCTTTCGTGTGCATTGCGGTTAAAAGATTCCAGACGTGCACATCCACGTTCAACCGATCAATTACACGTTTAAGTTCAAGGGTCCGCGGCAGTTGTGCGCTGCTGCCGTCGCCCGCTGTCTGGCAACGATTATGGGAAAGATGAGTTCAGAGCCCGAGAGACAGACACAGTCCGCCGGTTCCCACGGAAAGCCTCCACGCGGGCTGCCGGGGTCAGCGTCACTTCTACTCACTGCGTTCAATATTCATTGAATCCATCGAAAGCCTCGTTGCATTATTCTCTTATCTCCTTTTTTCCACACAATACCTGAGTTATTTTTTTTAATCTACTATTTATTTGGAGTTGGAGCTGTTGTTAATCCTCGGGCCAAAACAGTTCAGGGGGAACGTGCGTTGACATGACTATTTCAAACAGAAAGAAACATACACTTTTATTACCTGGAGACACAAATGCTTGTTTGTTTTCATCAAATGATTTAGTTGTGGGAATGTTAACTGCAATATTGATCTTCCTTTTCCGTTCCAACACTCTTAGAAATGAATCATGAACACTTAACATTCCTTTATTGGCTAAATTGTAATGTATTTTTATCCATTGTGTTGTAGGTTCAAGGAGAGATAAATATTGAAGCGTAATTTCCAGGAAATAAAAGTGTCAAAGTTAATTGCAAACATGAACATCTACAAATTTGATGCAATCAACACGCATGTTGGTATTTTAATTATAGCCCAAAATTGGCAGGCAAAATGTAAACCTTAAAAAAACATTATCCAATAAAAATAATTCAAATAATGAACGAAAAAAAACAAAAAAACAATCCACATGACAACATGAAATTACAGTTAATTTTCGAGAACAAAATCAATTAACTGGTTAATCCCATTTAACAGATTCCTACGTTGTCTAATAGACATAAGATGTGCATTTTATAAATAATCTCCTAAATGTAATAATAGACGTTTCTTTCCAAAGGAGCTGATTCAGGTTGTAAATACGGGATCCACCTGTATGAGCTTCCCACTGAACTCTCGAGGCCTCCAGCACGCACACATCAACGTGCAACGTGCACTTGTGGAATGAGACGCCGCGTGCAGATATTAGGGTTCCTGTGTGATGGCGCCTGCAGGCGGGATTAGGCCCTTCATCCGCTGCTCCGCCTCCTCGGCCCCCTTCTCTTTCCTGAGGCGTAAAAGATTCAGGGAGAAAAACCACACCGGTGAGTATTATTTGCGTTGGCTTTAAAGGATTGGCTCAGAGACACTTTGTGCACTGTGTGTGTGTTTCAGTGGCACAGGAGGGAAACTAATCTGCATGGTGGCGTCGATGTAAGAGGAACGAAGTGGCTCATATCCCAAAACATTCCGGAATCAGGAACATTTATTGCCAAGATATGTTAGACAAACCATGCCGTGAGAACAAATCATTGAGATATTGGTTCTTCATCTGTGGCCTTCTTCTTTTTTTCACATTTCTCACACACGTTCCTGGTGGGATAATTGTTTTTTTCGACACTCCGATTCAAGATGCGCCGCCGAAATGTGTGTCTGTATTTGCGTCTTATGGTGAACCCGTGGTAATAATCCTGCATCCTGTCGGGGGTCAAGGACTCCGCCGGCCTCTGCTCGGGCCCCTGCAACAGAGGGACGCTTGTGAAACACGAGGGGCCCGGCGGGGAAGATCACAGCCACGGCCGCCGGCCTGGGAATGCTGTCGCTCTGCATCAGAGCCGCGTGAGAGAGAGAGAGAGAGAGAGAGGGAGAACACACCTATGTCAGACACGCCTCTGCAGACGCATGCTGGTGTGCACTCTGCAGCAGAGTCGACGCCGCTGAGTCTGGGCCCCGTGAGGAGCGTGAGTGTTTTTAAGATCATCGTTGGCGTGCGTCAAGGCGGCCCAAGGGAGGACCCGACCCTGCCCTATGGCTGCAGGCCCTCGCCTTTGTTCTTCACCCGTACAGACATAATTACAAGCCTCAAGGAGCCTCCTCTCTCCTTGCGTTCTCTCGCGCTCTCTGCCTCATGCACTCGATGCCCACACCTTTTCATCCCACGCGTTCTTTGACCGATACTCACGTCCAGGACTCAGTCCTCGGCAGCAGCGCCGCGACGCCCATATAGGCCTCTGATTCCTCCAAGCGTTTGTGTTCACCTTCATCATTTGGCCTCCCTGATCCCATTCATCCGTCAACGGGTTTGACTCTCGGTGAGCAGCCACAAAGGTTGTTCTCTCCCTGCAGCGACATCTGCGTAAGTCAAATGCATCGCCACGTTCGTCCCAACACCAACGCCGCTGCTGCACATTCTCAGTAGGCACAGCGTTGCATTCTATGTGTGCAACTCTGGCCCACCAGAGGAAAATAGCTTCTCTGCGCAGCCTCTGTTTTTGTTTCTCCAGAATAATAATTTGTGGCAGTGTTGTGGCGGGCCGCGGGGCCGAGGCCTGCAGGGAGTCGGGAGTCGGTCCAGCCTCCGGCGGCCGTTCTGCAGGGTGAAGGACGTGACCAAAATGACAGGGTTGTCCAGCAGCTGAGCACCACGCTCAACCCACCAGTCCCACCAACTCATATCATCATGCTTAATTTCACTGCAGCTCACATCTGACTCAATCTGTTAGAAACATATTCGGCTGCATATTAGTTAGTTTTCAAATATATCAGAATTCTATTTCTGAGTGATTTTGGAGTAAATTTAGTGGCATGGAGGAAAATGATGATCGAAGCAATTACAGATGTGTATACAATTCAAATAATAACATGTTTCAAATATAGGCCTACTGTGTGACTATTTACGTGATTGAACATATGTTTAATACAGAGAATAAAACTTATTTAACTTTAGAAGCAAAACTCCCAAATGTCATTTTATGTTTATATATTTTATAAGGTGAATGTCTCAAACTTTGTGATTGGATTATAAACTCATTATTAGCCGATGCACCTGTCAATGTGTAATTATCGATCTCGAACCTGATCTAAATTCCACCAATAGAAAATGGAACATTTGATCTGAGAAGTATAAGAAACCTAGAAGCTTTATAGTAATTGCCTCCTAAAGCATGCACGTTTTGCAGGATAAAATCCTACGTCTGAGCTTTAACATTTTTTTATCCATGTGTTTATTATGTATCTGGCATCCTGACGCGGGCTGTTTTTCATGATGTTCAGAGGAGGAGGTCCCTGCAGGCCGCAGAGCTGCACCCTGGATCACATGTTAATAGCGTTTAATGGCGGAGCTCCAGTGACAGCTGGCTGCCGAACACCAATCAGAGGGCTCGCAGATGGAGGGCAGTCAGACCGAGGCTCTGCAGGCACGACGTGTTGAAGAACCACGCCGGCGCCTCCAAAGATGTCAACGGGATCCCTCTCGCTTTCCGTCCACCGTGTCGCCTCCTAAACTGCTGTGAACATGCACGCCGTGACTCATCTCAGCGGGACACTTTTCTTCACGAGCAACGCGTCCGACGCAGGTTGGGATTCGTTCCCGGTTTTCCCGCAGCGCGCGTGAGCGCCTCTTCGCGTCACAGCTAATGATGTCTATGGGTTTGATGCCGGACTCTCGGAACGCCTCGGATCCCTCCAAATCGGCCTTTCTCGAATTTGGCCACGGACATCCGGCCCACCAGCAGCTCTCCCCCGGACTCTCTCACGTTTACCCGGTCCACGGCCTGCATGCGTCCGGCCACTCCCAGCACCAAAGTCCCTTTCCCGGCGGCGCGTCCTACGGCCGCTCGCGGGGCTACGCCTACCCCGACGCGGCGAACCCTCACCCCCCGTCGGCCTACGCGTCCTACCAGCACCGCGATCCCAGCAGCCACAGCAGGTCGGAGCACGCAGGTATGTGGACCAAACGGCCCGAACTGCCACGCAGTTGCTTTTACGCACAGGAAGCAAATCCACGGTTTGGTATCATTAAAAAGACAGAAAGGTTGAGCTTTAAGAAGAAGAAGAAGCAGCCATGTATTATTTGACACATTCTCTGCATTTAACTGTGGGAGCAGTGGGCTGACCGGGGATCAGTTAGCGGTTGTGAGTCTTGCTGCAGGGACACTTTGTCACGGAGCAGCCGGGTCTCGAACCGTCAACCCTGCGGTTCCAGGCGCACCCTCGTGTATAGTGCGTGTGATATATTGAAAGTTCAAAGTTGGAAATGGACGTCAGCAGGTCCCCGATTGAACAAGGCCGAACCCTCCACACAGCCTCCTTTACCGTGCATGTTCAATAAAAACAGGTGCTGCTATTCGTCTGAATGCCCGTCAATCATTTCAGAGTGTAAATTCACGTATTTGATTTAACTATAATTCATATAATCCGGCCACGTGATTTGGGGACTGGAGACGATTTCAGCTGGAACACTGACAGACTCCGCGTGTCCTGCTGCGGAATCTCATTTTCTATATTCATTCATTCAACCAGACCTGGAGAAGCCCGCGGCGGCTGACAGCCGGGACTTTCGTCCGAATGGAAGGGGGAAAAAAACCCGGAAGCCCAGGACCATCTACTCCAGTCTGCAGCTGCAGGCCCTGCACCAGCGCTTCCAGCAGACCCAGTACCTGGCCTTACCGGAGCGCGCGGACCTGGCGGCCAAACTGGGACTCACCCAGACTCAGGTGGGCCTGCAGCTCATATGGGCCATATTCTTAGTATTATTATTATCATTACTCTTCTTTTTGTATTATTGTTATTATTAATATTTTATTGCTAATATTACTAATATTGAAACGCAATTATAGTATCATTTTTCGGTTTATTATTACTCAAATATATATTTATATGGCATTTATAAATAATTGAGGCCTAATAATAATTATTACTATAATATTCTGCATAACACACCAGAACTGCATGTATTGTCTTATTGCATATAATGTTTGGGTAATATTGTCAACGTTTTGAATGCGTGCAATTTAAAACGACTTCACTGGATGTTGAAACTGTGATTTGCTGCATTATCAAAGATCACAACACTCCAGGAGATCAAATGAGAGACCAGCTTGTGACTTGTAACTCGATCCTTTAATGAATGTCTTGTTTACTGTACTTATTTCCTGGACTTTCGTTGTCAGTCTGGAAGCAGCATGTTGCGATGTTTGCTATAAAACAACACAAACCGCACACGTCGTGTATTTACTTGCGTTTAATTACAACTGCACTCATCCAGAATGTGGCGACGAAGTAAATTATTAGTAAATCATGAGATACTGAAGCAGGGGAATAATTCTACGTGTAGGAGACGAACCGTTGACTTCTCCGCCCTTATTCGACTTTTATTTTGAAGTCTCACATCGAGTGACAAACGAAGTGACTCTTTTGTCTTCGTGTAAAAACAGACCTTTTATTACGGAATCAGCAGAAACTGCCATTGATGGAGCTCAGCGGCCTCGGGCTGTTTTTGGGCCCCGGTCTCGGCCGCTTGCTGTCACGCTCGTGCGCTTTAACAGTTAAACGGGGGAACAATGCGCGCGGGGATCGGCAGAAACAACACGCGCCGAGGGGAGTTGTGCGGCTTTTATTGGTCACAATGATCCGCTTAAGGGCCATTCTGAAGAGTATGTGGAGTTTAATTTGAAGGAAATGATCTGACAAAAAGCTATTTGTGAAATAATTCCCTTTTTGTATTACTTGTGAGTATTTAACACAATTACAACTGTGCGTGTTTTTCTCTGTTTTAGGTGAAAATATGGTTTCAGAACAAGCGCTCCAAGTACAAGAAGATAACGAAGCGAGGCAGCGGGTCGGAGGGAGAACATCTCCACAGCACCAGCTCCATCTCCCCCTGCTCACCCGGGATGCCCGAGCTGTGGGACAAAGGAGCCCAAATGCCCCAGAACAATTACATGAACGGTTTTGGCCACTGGTATCCAAACCCCCACCACCCCCACCCGGACGCGACGCCCAGGCCTCACATGATGTGAGCGCGTCCCCCACAGCCTGTTGGGTTCATCGGGTGTGCGTCTCCCCTCAGAACTCTATTGTTGTTCGGATGTGTCTTTTAAGAGAACTTGTGTATATTCTTTGTATTTAGCGCGCCTTTTAAATTCAGTTTTCACAGCAAACTTGACAAGACACCAAATATATTTGTAGATTTGTTATATATGCAACTTCTGGTGCACGGCATCAACTCTGTGCAATGCGTGTTTTTAAAGAATGTGGATCGCATTGGTCTTCCAACAAATGCTGAGAGCATTATGTGAATAAATCGCCTTGGGATTAATATTGTTTTCATGAATTTCGTGTGTGTTTTTTTTCGTTGTTTAGTTTTTTTTTAATTGTGTTCAAATAATTGAAAGACATACATGAAGATGTGATTTAATATATCCGACCGTAAAATAGCCGCAGGAGTCCGATTAAGCAGCTGTGCAGAAATGACGGCGTCACTAACGGTGTTAACCAATCAAGCATCAGCACGTGAGACATTTCAAACCGTTTGTCAGACACCTGCACATCTGCGTGGAGTTTACCAGATGTTGTGTTTGCATCTTCACTGTTTTGTCGTCATTGCAATAACAAAAAACGTGTAAACATTTCCCCCAAAAATAGGTGAACAATTTCATTTGACTGCGAAGGGACAAAAAGCAGCATTCTAACTCTGAAGTGAGCTACAAACCAAAGAAGTTACTGAATGAGATAACACGTTTACACCAGGACTGCTGCTGATTTACAGTCGTTTGCAGTGATTTGCACAACACAATTTAAAAGAGCTGTTTTTATCTTTACACGTAATTTAATTGGAGGATGATTGATAAAGCGTTTGGTTAAAGAAGCAACCAGTGGCTCTTTTTACTTCCTTTTATTCACTCTGCTGTCCGAGCTGGCAAATGTTTCTGATGTCATCCACAAAGGGATTAGATAACTAACCAATCAATACGTTGCTACACACATTATCTGCTATACATATAGATACATTTTCTTTTCATGTCGCAACAAAATCAAACAACAAAAAACATTGTGTGTTAATAGCAAAGCAAGTCTTCCACATCCTGTTGCATTAAAAAAAAAAAACAAGCTCAGTGCTGCACTTTGGTCGTGAGGCCGCACGCCGTCTTGTCTTACCTCAGTCACAGAAGTGCAGCCTTGTTCTGGAGGTCTGAAGCCCGCGACGCGTTCCTCTGTGTTTTCACTCCGGGTTTTCTCACACTACGACAAGCATTGTGTAACATTAACATGGCCTTCTTTATATACACGTACGCCCTCGCACCCTTTTCCTCCATCATTATGGGCCTTGTTAACGCGCCGGGCTGGGTAGGAAGAGACAAGTGACGGGGCATCAGGGGAAATTATAGGCAATTTCACATCTCCGGATTAGAATAATGGCTTGTGCAGTTGGACACAGAGTAGAACCTTTCAAATGGGGCCAATTATCATGCAGGCCGATTGAAGCGAATGTGAAAAGGATGGTGTAATAGACGCGGCGGGATGAGGGGAAGGCTGCGAGATGGGTTGAATGATGAAGGTATCAATGCTGCAGCCGCTCAGAGTTATCAGCATGAGCTGCCTGCGGTTCAGTTCCAGGAGAGCAATAAGAGGGAAAATAGCTTGTAATTAAAATCCCAGGGTGCTGTGAATGGGCGAATGGCAAAGCAGGTCTCTGGGGTGATTATTGTTATTAACTTGAGTGATCTGACATCGCTGGTAATTGTGAGCAGCTTCCCTTGTTAGAGAGAGTGAATGCATGGTTTAGTTTCATCTGAGGGGTGGGCTTCATTCGGCAATGATGTGTACACACACACACACACACACACACACACACATATCTGGAGGGATTCAAAGAGGGAATATAGTTGGGCGGGCAGAAATACACACACAGTGAGATTGGAACAAACGCTGGATTTAAGGGACGGCCCTCGCAAAATATGTGGAAAATGTTTCCATTCTGGTTTCAGGTCTGTTTTATTAGTGAAACTCGTGGGGATCTTCGCTTGGGTCCAGGTGAGCTCATGCCTGAGCAGCAGTGGAACCTCACAGAGAGGCTCCCATGCGACGGAGCATCAGCACACAGTCCGGCCCAGAGGTCGGCCAGGGTTCAGCTGCACACAGCTGTCCGGGATGCCTTTCTCCCTGCATTTCATCCCAGTTCACAGCGAGATGGAGAGAGTGAGTGATCCTAATGCAGCCGAGGCTCAGCCCGGCCCGGACTGAGCGTTGGACAGCTGCAAGTCTTCCCAAATGCATGCATTTCAGTTCCCGACCTCCACCTCAACCCACATCGCAGCACCCAAGAGACAAGCACCGACACCGCTCTGTTGACTGTTGCAGGCGGTGGTGGAGGAGGGGGGTGGAGAAGGGCTGCAGAGGCCCGGGCACCGGCTGCTCTATTTAGGGTGCTGTGATGTTGTGCCACGCAGGGATCACATTCGAGTTCAACAGTTCACCACCACCTCGATGGCGACTTACACTTGTTAATGTTCAGAGATGACATACATGGACACGTCTCACACGCGTTTGTCTTCGGCACAAATGTTTCCCCTGACAACCACAGTCGAGGGCCACACACGCTGAGGGAGATCGTATGCGCCGTGATGAGATTTCATTGATATCAAAAGCTTAATGCTGCTTTTGTCAAACCAGCACAGTGTGAGACGATGAGAGATGCTGTAGACAACTGGTGTTGGTTTCAGGGAAATGGGTTTTGTTTGAAAATGTTTAAATAATGTACGAGAAATACGTGCTGTGTTTTTAAAAGTTTTTTTTTATAATAAATTAGTCATGTGTCAAACACAAACAAACAAAAAATGTGAAGAAGGGGTTTTATTCAGTTCCAAAGGTAGTTTCATAATAAATCATGCATTACATTTATATAACATTTTGAAATTAGGAATATATATATAATTTACATTGATTAATATTTTATTTATTTTTTAATTTATTTTCAGAGGAATTCAATTATATATAATTGAATTCCTCTGAAAATAAATGCATAGTGTTGTAGTTCCCATAACCTCATTCCTTTACTGGATTAATCACCAGTGCTGGTGTTTTGTAGGCCATATGTGCTCATAAAAACAATATTAACGGAGTACAAACTCCAGCCAATCATTGTAAACGAATATTTGCCAAAAGACTTGTTTTTACAACACAAATCCGTTTTTTTTAATTGCACAATATTGTGCATGTATTATTACAAAATGTATGTAATAATCAAATAGTCAATAACTCAATATCCAGAGTTGCATTGGATAAAAGTGCATCATTTGTTCACAAAATATGTCTTATTACAATAGATTCATAAGGCAAGATCCATGACAGCATCGAGAGAACTTTGACACTTGATGGTTTAAGGTCATACTTCTAAATTCATACGTGAATATGTTATAATTTTTCACTATTGCAATGACGCGTTGCTGCAATAGTTACGTGAAGCACCGTGGGGATTTACTCTGGTCCGTGTGCAGAATATCGACGTTCAGTTAAAAACTCGTTCTTTTGTGATCTTTTCTGGGTAAAAGGGGTGAGTCACATGACGTTCACACCTGGAATCGAGTTGAGTTCGCAACCTTTTCCCGCTGACTGCAAAGGGACGAGTCGCAGCCGTCCACAACATTTCTTTCCACCCTGCTGCGCGCGCCTGCGGCAACAGAGCCGGTTCGCCCCCGCACGCCAACGCGTGTGTGTGTGTGTGTGTGCGTGTGTGTGTGCGCGTGCACGCTGAATTCTCGTTATTCGGTATCTGGCAGCATGAAAGTAATAAAACCGACTCCAACACGCCCAGAACGCGTTGCACGCAGCTCATCAGCTGGCTGCCACAAGGAGAAACATGTAAAACCATCAGCAACGTTTATGACGACTGAATGCGTTTCTTGTTTGTGCAAGTCTGTGCTTTGTGGTTATTATTATTATTATCAAAATGGATCTAAAGCATTGTAGACCAAAAATGGTCTAACGTGTTAAACCTCCCTGCGTTTTGCATATTTAATCACTTGTTAAGCATCTTTAAAAAAAGGACATTTTGACCACCGCCTGTTTATAGAAGGGCTCGACACACACAGCGTCCAAATAACAACTTTATTCAATTGACAAGAAGGCAACACGTGGACTACTTACATGAATATAACAATGGTTTTGGAAGCACCACGGGGCAGTCGTTCCATTTCAAACAAAAACCATCATAGTGGTTCTGCATATAAACACATATTTACAGACTTCGACATTTTGTACAAATCCATATAAATATGACCTGAGTTTTTTTTCTTTTTTTTTTTGGACAAGCTACAAACCCGCACGCCTGTATTTGAACGCAGCATGGATGAACCGCGCAGTTGCTAATATTCGGTTTGTGGTTTTAGCTACTTGTTTAAAAAAAAAACGTTGCATATTCGTATACAAAAGGAGTGAAAGAAATACGACAGAAGCGATAAATAATTTAAAAAAAAAACACGCCAGATGTCCGTTAAATAGACTGCCACGAGTGATCAGAAATCCCTCAGTTGCTTTGAGAAAATAAAGCCCCAGACGTGAAGCGGTTTGGATCCTCCAACAGGCGCGAGTCCCGGTTCGTCAACCGCCGCTCGTCAGAGTCATTGTGGACAGAAAACAGTCCGCGGAGTCTAATAAACAGCGCCCGCGCTTTGCTGCGGGACCGGGTGGTGCACGGTGGTGCCCGGGTGCTGTAGGTGTGATCCCTGCTGGTACCAGTGGTTGTTATAATCCTCCAGGTATGGCGGCGACGAGCTGTGCGTCGGCGGCGGGCCCTGCGGCCTGCTGACGGCGGTGTTCTGCGGGGTGCTGTTGTCCCACGCTGCGGGGGAGGGCGGGGAATTGCACGCCATGGAGTCGCTGGCGTTGGGGCTGTGCTCCAGGGGAACCTCGCCGTTCTTGTACAGCTTCTTGAACTTTGACCTCCGGTTCTGGAACCAGATCTTGACCTGGTGAGAAGAAGAAACAAAAAAAAAAAAGAGTGTGAACATGCAAATGAACAACGCGCTCACCTTTTAAAATAAATATTTACCTGGTGTCCAAACGTAAATGTTACCTAAATATAGCCTGTGCTGGTTTAACTGGTTTTATTGAGAAAGTGAAAGCCGAGGCGCACATGAATCGATGTGAATCGCCGTGCGTAATTGGATGATTAACCACGGTTGGATAATTACAGAGTAAATCGTTTGGCGTGTTTTGGAGGAGCCGTGACTCACACGGCCGCACGCGTATCGATGGATGAGAAGATAGCGGCGGTTCGCACCCGGTCGGGCGGCTCACCTGCGTCTGGGTGAGGCCCAGCTGGGCCGCCAGCTCGGCCCTCTCGGGGAGCGCGAGGTACTGCGCCTTCTGGAAGCGCCGCTGCAGAGCGGCCAGCTGGTAGCTGGAGTAGATCGTCCGCGGCTTGCGGATCTTTTTCGGTTTTCCGTTCACCATGCGGACCTCGGGCTCCGGCTCTTCTTTCACTGCGACGGACAACGACGTGTTTTTGGTGAAACGGGCGTCAAGGGCATCTTTTAAAATCCACTAATTGCGAAACATTATCATGGGACATATCAAATAGAAACGACGACGATGATCTGGGTAAAACATATTTAAAACGTCCTGTTTCAAATGACTCGTGTGATCATTTGAATGTTAAAAGTCTAACTTCAAAAGGCAGGAACCACAAAACCAAATCAGACGAAAGGTGTCGTTTTAGGCATCCTGGTGACATGCTGATATTAATGGAGGGTTTATTACAAACTCAAATGAAACCTTCATTGTTCATTTACCTCCAACAGCCAGACAGGCCGTTAAACACAAGCTGGTACAAATATAATATAATATATATGAATGATTTCTCTATGTGTACAAACACAAAACAGCATCCAACCCCACAGACAACATATGAGCGGTGAAATGAAGAAAGAAACTGGGAATTCCGGGACACAAAGAAGACAACCAGCGGGGGGGGGGGGGGGGCATTATTCACACATTGGAATAAAACAACGAAAACGTCATTTGAACACGTTCCTGAGCTCGGGGGGGAGGCCTGCGGGTGGTCTCTGCCGTAGTGGCCGAACTGCCTGTAGCTGTTCGGGTACGAGTACTCGGACTTGGTCGCGTACGCCCCGGCGGCCCCCATCCCGTTCAGGTTGAACTGGTGGTGGTGGTGGTGGTACGAGTTCACGGGCTGCCCGTACGCCTGAGCCGGGTAGTACTCGTGGTGGCTCGGGCCCGTCTGCCCGCTGTAGTAGCCCATGTCCGTCACCGAGGACTCGGGGAGCGTGGGAGAGTCCTTGGAGTTCGGGTGGCAGCTCATAGATCCCGGTAGGTCGGTCAGAATGGTCGCGATCTTCTTCTCGTACGCGTGTCCGGCGCTCATGTCGAAGCACCCCTCCAGAGTGAAGGAAGCCCACCGGGGGGAGAGAGGAGGGAGGGAGGGAGGTGAGGGAGGGGGTGGGGTCCTTGTTTTTATCTGGTCGTTGCCGCTTCTGGGAAGCGCGTAAAGAAGAAGAAGAAAAAAGGGAGCTGGCGTGCGCGCGATGGCTGAGATGTTCTACAGAGCTCTCATAGTCCGCGCGAGGTCTCCGGGCTGCAGTCACTTGGTTTGTGGCATCGCTCAGCGTCAGTGCCACAGAGTTATAGAGAGCTGGACTGAAAGCTGCCTCCCCATTGGCTAAACCGCCCCCCCCCGTCCCCACTCCCTCCCTCCCTCCCCCTCCTACGCTCGAGGCGAAGTTGTGGTGAAAGGCCAGGCTTCAGCCAAGAGCGCGCGTTGGCACGCAAACCTCAAGCGCTGCCCCCCCTCCTCTTCTGCCCGCTTTGCGTTGACCCGTCCGCGGGCCGCGCGGTGCCGGGTGTCGAGAGACCCACCCGTGGGTCCAGGTACGAGTCACGCCGCGTAGTGGCACCGAGGTACCGCGACGCAGTCAGCCGCCGCGAGTCTGGAGACTAACGCCGCCGCCGCCGCGGCGTCTCCTTTAACGCTTTATGCAACGTTGTCTTAGGAGCGCGCGGAGATCACACCTGATTCCAGCGCACTGAAAGAGACGCCCCGACGCCGCATTGTCATTCAAAGGAGACCTGCACGTGAAAGAGACACGGGGGCAGTTAAAAGACTGATGGTTCCCCCCCCGAGGGGTAAATTCCTCCACGGCGCGTTGGGTGCGAAACAAACGGTCAGAAAGTGCAACAATGAAACGAGGCCGTCGCGTCACCTGTAAACTGCTTTGCAATAAACCTTTTTTTTTTGTAATATTTTCCAGAAGAACTTTTTAAAAATAGTGACACGGGACAGTTTGTAATCCGCTGCCTGTTGTCCCGCAGCTGGCGGGCAGCGCCCCCTGCTGTCCGCACTCCCGACGTATGTTATCGGCCTGCAAAATAGACGAAACGCAGCTTCACACTGAGGATTATTTAAGTGTGTTTTTTTTAATGTTCTAACTATGTCTCCCGTTGTTGAAAAATGAGCATTTGAAGTGAGCACAGGGTCACGTGTTTACACGAACGTAGTGTCGCGTTTCCTTTCCCGCTCCTCTGGTGTGATAAACTGCCGCCCTCCTTCGGTCATTTTCTGCAGCACACGCGTCACAATTTAAACGTTCAATTCACCCACCCCAGTGAGCATTTTTTGGTTGAAAAGGCGTTTAAAAGACGTCTATGCCCGACGTTGAAAAGACGTTGCAAAATGGTTTAAAAGTGAAAGTTGTTTCAACGTCTATTCGTAGACGTTGAAAAGACGTCTATGTTTAGACCACATTTCAACGTGATTTTTTAATACGGTAATATTTCGTCTTCTCTTGTGTGCTATATCATTATTTTAGAGGTTTAAAAAGAAACTACGTCCACATTTGTAAGTTTACCACCGATATTATAAATCACGTTGAAAACGGGTCTATACGCGAACGTCTTTTCAACGTCTACGAATAGACGTTGAAACAACTTTCACTTTTAAACCATTTTGCAACGTCTTTTCAACGTCGGGCATAGACGTCTTTTAAACGTCTTTTCAACGTTGAAATGCTCGCTGGTTGAAATGTGGTCTAAACGTAAACGTCTTTTCAACGTCTACGAATAGACGTTGAAACAACTTTCACTTTTGAACCAATTTGCAACCTCTTTTCAACGTCGGGCCATAGACGTCTTTTCAACGTTGTTTCAACGGATAAATTGCTCGCTGGAAACTTACAAGTTACATACTTAGTCACAGTTGTCATGTTAACAGCCCTTAACAAGGACAAACACATTATTTTATTAATTTGCATTTATTATAAATATAACACTATACATATAACACTTTTCCTAATTAAAAATACAAAAATAAAATATATATTTCAGGGAAATTAACTATGGATTTAAAAGTGCAGAAACAACATTTCTGTGTTCAACAACAACAATTCTGTGTTTGTAGACCATTTTTCTGAATCATTTGAACTTCATTTTTAGATTCTGTAACAAGATGTGGCTGTGAGTCACTTGAGTTGGGATAGTATACCTGAAATCAGCTGCATCTCCCTCATCCTCACTTGATGATTCTTTGTGTAAAGGGAGTCAGAGTGCACAGAACAGCCCTCAATTGCAGATTTCTCTGGTCAACGTGTTTATTCAATTCAAATCATTTTATTTTGTTCAGTTTTGCAATCTGTAAACATGCAACATCCTGTCCCAAAACCCCCAAAATGTAAAAAACCTTCAACCGGGAGAAACCTGAGGGGAAAACAGCAAGGCAGAAGGTGTGTAGAGTATGAACAATTTAAAGATGTACAGTACATCCAATTCCTACGACAGAAATGATTCTAATATTGTGGATTACTAAGCCAGGGGTAAGGCAGGACCAGTGCAGGGACAACCATCATCAGACGTAACCTCCATCAGATGCAACCACCACCCGCAGAAACCTGTGAGGTGGGAAAGCACAAAGGCAAAGTTGGTCATTTGGGTTTATGATGACAGTAATAAACTAATAATAATAACAGCAGCAGGTGTGTTAGAACACTCATTTATAGATGGTTTACTTATTACCTTATCAACAAGATAACAATCAATCTGCAACTTATGGTATTTCTGGAGTAACATGTCCAGGTATATTACACAGTATCATGTTTTAAGCAGCAGTAACTTACAATGTTTCGGCCTCTTGTTTACAGAGCACAACTTGTTGAATTCAGCCCTTCACCCTTGCAATCTGTATTTAGCCCCCATTGCTTTAAAAACGTATCTTCAATGTGAAATGCAATAACATTTATGGGTACAGCAACAACCTAACGCATTAGTAACACCAAACACACGAAAAATATTCTGGGATGTTTACTTTTGGTCCAGGTCATCATGCTGAACGCTAGCATGCTCCAAGCTAGCATGCTAACTAGCAAACTACCTGCGCTAACGCTAACTAGCTTAACAAAAAGGGCCGTCTTTCCTGTATCGAGTCGGCAGCACAAGTAAAACACACGGTTATAGTTCCATGTGTGCTTCATCCAAACACTCCCGTACTTACAGAGTAGTGGAGCCGGTAGTCGTGGTTCTATCAGCCCGTTCATGTCGCTCTGCTGCCGTAACTTCGCCTCGTCCGCTCGGAGCTCTGCAGGCGTCTAAGAACTCGCGCATGCGCGTTACAGATGTGAGCGGAGTTACGTGTTTACAAGTAATGTTTGAAAGTGCCCGCATTATTATGCCTTAAACGCATCTTATTAACAGCACGCAGTCCGTAGTTTCATATTTATAACGTTTTAAGTGAAATATTAAATACGTTGAAATTACGTCTTCGCGTAGACCAAATTTCGCCGACCAGTTCATTAATTATTATGAAAATCTTAACGTTAATATCGTCTATCTTTCAACCTTACGTTACATCATGACACATTTATCAACAAATTGATGTTTTCTGGCACGTTGATGTTTTATCCCATTTTTAGCCGGTTGAAAAGACGTTGAAATGAGGTCTTAGACGTTCAGACCTCATTTCAACCCGATTTCAACCATATTTCAACGTTGAAATTACGTCTTGTGCTCACTGGGACGTTTCAATCAGGTCTGAAAACAGCCCACGTACTTACAGCGGGGTCTTTATCTGTGACTGTCAGCGGGTTTTCAGAGCCTCAATCAGTAAATACGACCAGCAAAAGAAACAAATATAAGCTTAGCTTTTAACTGAAGATTATTGATATGATTGAAAATCTATTAATCTTTTCAAAACAGGAAGAACCTAACGTAAAATATATGACGCTAGAGGCATTAGGAAGCAGAGGACGTCTCATACACACGTTTCCAAATAGAAACGTGTTCATCATGAATGTAAAGAGAGTTTCTTCATGTAGTGCCACACATTATCCACTAGGTGGGGCCTTCTTCTTAGACTTAGTGAATCCACCTGGAAAATGAATCACTTTATGCAACTAAGGAAAAATGCTGTTTCCAACACCAGGGGGCAGAGTGTCACAACCTCACACAACAAACAGTAATGAAATAACTCGATCACGGTTCTGTTCCATTTCTCATCATGTGTCGAGTTGATTTCATTCTGGGAGCCTTCAGGTTGGGTTATGAACTATGCAGAATCTGTATGTAATACTGACGTTCCAGCAGTGTGTCTATATGAGATTTCTGCCTGTGCACCTTCAAAAAGCATGTTGCAGGTGCAAAGACTAGACCCCTTATCTGCAAACTTATCGTTTGTTATTGATCCACAAATGCAAAGCCAGACACCAAACAGACACCTGAATGCTCATAGACATAGTAGACTGAAGTCTGATGGAGTTCATCCTCCTGAAGGTGTAAACGTGGTTAAAAGTCTTTCTTTTTCTCTCTCAGGATAATGTAATTTGTCTTTGGGTGGAAATCGACCTTGCACACGATCAGTGAACAATACTCGTCTCTGTGATTCGCCCAATCAAACCCTCACAACACAGTAACCCGGGACAGCTTTCAGAGGCGTGTTTCGCAGCGTTATGGTGCTCCGTGCTGAAGTGGAACAGCTGGCTTAATTCCAGCACAGGACAAAAGGCCGGACCTTTGCCCGGAGGAACCGCGGCAATTACTGGCTAACTAGGGTTTGGTCTGATTGCTTTGGAGGAGCGAACCTTCTACACTGTACTTTGTGAACAAAGCTATTTTCCCCTCAGAGAAACTCAATTTCCTTTCATTTTAATCTTCCTGTGAGTGCGATTAAAGGAGCACCTGCCAAAAACAAGCCGCGGTAATGGCGGTGGCCCTCAGACGTGACGTAAAGGGGCGTACTGGTCTTTTTCTCAAGACCTTCGCGGCATGTCTGTGGCTATCCAACCCCCCCCGAGGACAAGATGTACCTCTCCCCGTATCTCTACTTGCGGCTCTCTTGTTTTTACAGACAGTAGCCGGCTTCAGCATTCCAGATAGAATTGATTCTCCCTCAGACTCTGAGCTCTTTCATGAAGGCCTCGAGCCAAACATCGTGTTCCTGAAAGCAAGAGAGATACGCGACTTGTTTTTATATTTATAGAAATACAGACGGGCCGGAAAGATGATTGTTGTGGGCTTAAACCAATAAGAACAAGGAGAAGAACATCTTTCTGTGCTGTACGAACCGAGCTGCACTGTAACACTGAGGTCTTTATTTAACCTCCTACGCACCACGGCTCAAAGGGCTCCCCTTCAGTGCAGTAATGTGCACATAATCCCACAATCATACACCTCCACTGCAGAGGATGTT